TGACGCGGGCGCCGCGGATTGGGCGGCGCCGGTCGCTGCCACGTCATGCACGTACGGCGGCCGCCGAGGGACGCGCGCGTCCGTGCGGCTCGAGCCTGGACGGCGGCCCCCGAAGGACAGATGCCGTCGTCCCCGCGTCCTCGTGCTGTTCAAACTACGCTTTGCGCGGGCTTTTCCAGAAAGCCGTGGTATGGGCGCGCCCGGTCCCGGGTCGCCGGGAAAGGCGGCGGTGGAGGCGCCGAGGCCCGGGCCGAAGCCAAGGGCCCCGAGGGCCTTCCTGCCCCGGCCTCCTGCGAGACCCCCTCCGTCCTAACCCGGACTCCCGGGGTTTTGCATCTTTTTAAAACTCTGGATGAGGGCCCGGCGCCCGTGTCCCACGACTGTAATCCCAGCCGTTCAGGAGGCTGACACCTGAGGATCGCGGTTCGAAGCCAGCCCAGGCAGGAAGTTCAGTAGAACTCTTATTTCCAATGAGCCACCGAAAGGCACAAGTGGGGCTGTGGCTCAAGTGGTGGAGCGCTAGCCTTGAGTGAAAAAAGCTCAAGGACAGCGCCCAGGCCCTGAGTTCGGGCCGCAGGACCCGACCGAAATGTACACAACAAAAAAACCAAGACAAAGAGTAATGCAACTTTTTACTGTATGTAACTAATATTTTTAGTTGCCAAAAACAAATATTACCCTGTTGGCTAGTTCGTATGCCCCCAATGAAACGCCCCCTTAAACAACTAACGTATGCGAATAAATGATTTAAAATTTTTTATTATAAATTCTCTCAAAGTGGAATTCTGTTTTCCCATCTTGCTGCCTGTCCATACCCCCTTAGCCCTTGCCAGCTACAAGGATGGGTGTTTTTTACCCCTGCCTCCTAGCATTCTCTTACTCCCTCTCTTTTTTGAAAGTTTCCAGACATCCTTCTGTTAAGGACTCAGACCTTTCTTCTGAGCTTGCAAGGCAGATTGCTTGGTTCTGAGCTAGCTATTAACTAATCTGGCTCACTTGGCATATATACTGTCCTCTTGGACCCTCCTTTAGGGTCCCAACAGAACAAGTTAGGTCAGTTCATTGAACGACCCAGGGATTGGGAGCCTGGATTGTTACTCTGCTTTTGCACATAGCTGTGTGACCTTGACTGTTCCGTGGCTTCTCTGAGTCTGTTTGCTTTTCTGCAAATAGGGTTGATTTTACATGCCTTTGCAGATATAAAGGGTTAGTTTTTCAGAGAACTGTAGGCAATAGGGGGCAGCAGTAGGCCAGTTTCCAACTTTAGATGACAAGAAACATCCCGCCCCCTCCACCCAGTAAAGGTTTCCCAGCCTGACAGCATCACCAGCCTGCTCCCTCTCCCCCCACCCCACCCCCACTGTTGATGTCATTCTCAGGTAACATTTTCCCATGCAGCAGCAGGTAGGTGCCATCACTTCTTCCTGTCTTAAGGCTTACCTCCAAGCAGCCTAATACTCCCAGGGGAAATGGGTTACATCTGTCCTAACTCGAGTGTGTGCGTGTACTGAGGCTTCAACTCAAAGCCTGGGTGCTGTCCCTAAGTTTTTGTGTTCAAGGCTGGCACTCTATTCCTTTGAGCCACACCTTCCACTTCTACCTTTTGGGTAGTTAATTGAAGACAAAGTCTTATGGACTTGCCTGCCCCAGCTGGCTTTGAACCATGATCCTTAGAGCTCAGCCACCTGAGTAGCTAAGATTACTGGTGCAAGCCACCAACACAGAGCTTCAACATTCTAAAGTAGAAATACTTCAAAGCCAGAGAATACATTCCCTCTAACCAAAACAGTGACCAGCATGTAGTAGGTTCTCAGTGAAAGATTTTGTGTTGGTACTGGGGATTGAACCCAGGTCCTCATACACAAGCACTCTACCATTTGAGCCACACTTCCCAGACTCTTTATTTATTTATTTTTGAGCAGAAGACTGAGTTTATCGCAAAGCAAAAGAAAAAAAACTGCCTGGAAAAGACAAAGGGGACTGGAGCTAGTTATTCCCCCCAGTCCATTTTATTTCTTAGGTAGAGTATTGTTAACTTTGCCAGGACTGGTCCTGAACTTATGCCTCTGCTTCCCAAGTAGCTGGGATTACAGGGATGTACCACCATGCCCAGCTCTCAGTAAATAATGAATGCTCAGCACTCAGCTGAATGTGTGCTTGTGAAATTTTCTAAGGTAATCATGCAAAGCTTTTTGCACAGTGTCTGGCGCACAGAAACTAGCAAACATTAATAGTCCTATAGCATTCAATGTCTGATAGAAGGTGTCTAACAAACTCATTCACTGAGATGTCACAATAGTCCAGGACAATCAGGCCCCATTTTACTTTGGAACGCTGGGGGCAATTGTAAGCAGATTTGCACAGAGGTCCTCTTCTGATGATGAATTTAGCAGTGAGCTGAACAAAACCTGTATGGCCTGATTCTATAATGTGTCCCTGTTGGAGGAAATACTTTAAGTAGTAAAATTATTTACCAGGCCCTCTTGTATATGACAGGAATAGAGGAATAGATGAGACAGGCAAGGGCCTGCCCTCAGAGCTACCCGTCTAATAATTCATGATGAGTCTGGAAATTTGTCAATTAAGATCTTTGGAGCTGGGGCTGGGACTGTGGCTTAATGGTAGAGCGCTTGCCTAGCATGCATGAAGCTCAGTACCACATACACAGAAAAAGCCAGAGGTGGCGCTGTGGCTCAAGTGATAGAGTGCTAGCCCTGAGCAAAAGAAGCTCAAGGACAGTGTCTAGGTCTTGAGTTCAAGCCCCAGGACTGGGGGAAAAAAAAGTCTTTGGAACAAGCTATGGGAGCTCTTGCTTGTAATCCCAGCTACTGAAGAGGCAGAAATCAGGAAGATCACTTTCCACACCATACTTGGGTGGAAGTGAGAAAGTTAGCAAGATCCAATCTCAACAAATAAGCCCAGCAAGGTAGAGCATGTGTAATCCCAGCCACCAGGTAAGACTGTGGTCCAGGCTGGTAGGATAAAAACATGAGACCCGGTAAAGCTGTGGCTCAAGTAGAAGAGGGCCAACTTTGAGAAAAAATAAAGGATAGTGCCTCTGATTTCAAGTCTCACTACTGGTGTGCATGCGTGCACACATACACACACACACACACACACACACACACACACACACACCACAGACCCTATTGAAAAATAACTAAAGCAAACAAAAGAGGGAGTGGGGATGTTGCTCAAGTGGCCATACTGTAATACAGCAGCAACTTGAGCTAAACTAGCATAAATAAAGGAGATTGTATTTGTGCCAGGTACTGAAAGTTCAAGGCATAGATTTTTCAACCTTCTCTCAGTCCTCCTCCACTCTCTATGTGCTTTATTCAGGCTCCCAGCAAGGGAAAGAGGGCAGTGAGCTGTCCTGTTTCAGTCCTCAAGTTCAAAAACAGATCTGGGTGTATGTTGGGGGGGGGGCAGTGTCTCAGGTGTCTGCTTGCCTGTGATAGGGTCATTTGCTCATCCCTGTTACCAATCACAACATACATAGGAATATCGGGCTCTGATTGTCCAGGCCTTAACACTCACCTGAAGCATGTGGATTGAGCAGGGAAACCTGACTGGTTACTCAGAGGAAACCAAGATTCTGTTTAAAAGGTGTTTGCCTAGGGCGCTGATGGCTCACGCCTGTAATGCTGGCTATTCAGGAAGCTGAGATCTGAGGACCGCAGTTCAAAGCCAGCCCGGGCAGTAACGTCAGTGAGACTCTCATAACCACCAAAAAACTGGAAGTAGTACTGTGGCTCAAAGTGGTAGAGAGCTAGTCTTGAGTGAAAAAAAGCTCAGGGACAGTGCCCAAGCCATGAGTTCAACCCCCATGACCAACAAAAATAAATAAAATAATAAACAAACAAATGTCTGCTGCTGGTGAAAAAGAAAGAAGTCCTTTACAGAAATTAATAAGTCACAGGGCTGGGAAGGTGGCTCAGTGGTAGAGTGCTTGCCTTGTATGCTTGAGACCCTGGGTTCGATTCCTCAGCACCACATAAGAAAAAAGAAAAAAGCCGGAAGTGGCGCTGTGGCTCAAGTGGTAGAGCACTAGCCTTGAGCTGAAGAGCT